CCCCCCCCCCCCCCCCCCAGGAAAGTGCCTTTTAGCAGCTGGCTTGGGGAAGTCCAATCTTCACCAAACTTGGAGTGATTGTAGAGAAGAGTCATAGGAAGTCTCTGTCATTTTTGTGTCTTAAGGTAACTGGGGAATATTTTCCTAAGAAGTGCCTAGAGATAGGAAGGCCTGGGGGGAAAATGAAAAATTGGGGGAAAAAACATTCCCCCCCCCATTTTTTCCAAAGCTGTTTTTAGTTTTTTCCCCATAAAAATTGAAAAAAAATGTGTGTGAAATACGTTATTTTACAATGACAAATAATATGTCTATGACATGGTATTCAGACGATATAACATGAAGACCTTAATGAAAGACTTCTGAGACTTTATGCATTTAAGTTCTCACAAGATTCCAAATTTTTCTTGAAAAAAACTAGGAAAAACCTTTTTTTCTGGAAAAAAAGGGAATTCTTGGAAATGTACATGTCTAGGAGTACCTTTTTATTGGTGTGTAACTAAGACATCCAAACCCCAATCTTTCCCAAAAGTGGAATGATTGTAGACGAGAGTCAGAGGAAGCTTCCCTGAAACTTTGGTGTTTCCAGGTGCCATTATAGCCAAATGAATGGACAAATCAAATACTGCTAAAAATTCATAGTATGTATTGATCTTTATTCATTGAGAGCATTGATTTGTTTGTATATGAATCGATGAATTAACATTTTTTGAATGCATTTGGTAATTTGTGTTTTTTTTATTCATCCCCATCTCTATTGTCAGCTTATTGTAGCACCCCTTCCCCTTGTAATCTCTTGTTACATGTTTTTTCCAGGAGCCCAGGTCTAATGAAGAATCTACAGATGAGTCTGAGGTAAGGACTGTTTGAGAGGGCCTTCATGTCTGAACATGGCCAGTTGATGTTCTAGTTACATTAAATGCCAGTCCTTTGTTAATACAGAAGGAAAATATGCTCTTCTCTCATCCCCCACCCTCCGTTTCTCTGGGCCATTTCAGATCTGGAAGCTAGGTATTTACAGAGAAATGATGCTTTTATTGGAAGTGATTTTTAGGTTTTGATTTCACTTAGGAAGCTGTGGTGCTAGTGAAATTAGAAAATGAATGATATTTTAAAAAAATACAGATAGTCACACAGTTGTGCTAAAATACTGAACCTTGACAAAATATATATCTTGTCACAAGTTGAAATCTGGGTGCTGTCATTTATTGTTTGAGTTAATGAGAATGAAATTGACATACCGTATTTGCCGGCCTACAAGGCGACCGGCCGTATAAGACGACCCCCCCAACAGGAAGAGCCGGGGGGGGCGGAGGCAGGAGGAGGAGGAGGAAAAGGGAAACGGGCGGGTGGCAGGCGAGTGAGCCCAAATGAAGTGCACCCGGTGTACAAGACGACCCCCCCAACAGGAAGAGCCGGGGGGGGCGGAGGCAGGAGGAGGAGGAGGAAGAGGGGAAACGGGGGGTGGCGGGCGAGCAAGTGCGCCGCTGGCTCAGCGCGCTTGGGGTGGCGGGTTCTGGCTGAGGAAGAGGGCAAGAGGCTGAGGGGGGGTTGCAGGAGGAGGAGGAGGAAAAGGGAAACGGGCGGGTGGCAGGCGAGTGAGCCCAAATGAAGTGCACCCAGTGTACAAGACGACCTCCCCACTTGGAGTCATGTTTTTTTGGCCCAAAAAGTCATCTTGTATGCCGGCAAATACGGTAGGTAGTCCTTCAATATTACAGATTTTCTTTCTACAAAGGTAGCTCGTATGTGGTGGTGCTTCAAAGCAGACTTAGATATGTTTCCATTGTGTCTCTTTTGCAAAATAATATTGAAGGATATGACTGTTTACATTGTTTGTGTTCATCTATTGAATCTAGAAATATCTGAAGATAGCAGAAAAATATGTAAAATGGCTTTAGGATCTTGATCAGTATATTTTTTATGCAAGAGGGTCATTTAGAGTTGTACTAAAATGGATTGCCTGAAGACCTCCTTTTCCTAGCCTATCTTTCTTGACTTGTCAGCTGAGATGACAGACTACATCCTGTCCCACTGCCTGTCCAGTTTTGTCCTTTAGATTTTTAAAATCTGATTTTAAAACATGGATGAGAGCAAGAAAGGACTCCTCTGAAGGCCATTTCTGAATTTTGGGGGGGAGGGCAGGGTCACAGCTTTGTGTCAGAACACTGGATTGCAGGTCAAAAATTATGGACTGAAACTCTACATAGGACTGGAAAATATAACTTCAGTAGGGCCTCCATATTTACGGGATCAGTATTCATGGTTTCACTTATACGTGATCTGAAAATGTTAAAATATTAAAAACTAAAAATCCAGAAAAACTATTTTCACATGTATTACTAGAACTTGTCACTAGAGGGAAACAAAGACCATACTATGAATACTTGTTAGTGAAGAATACATAGCATGGTCTCTGGTGATGCCCTGTATACCCTTTCTGCACAATATACAGTTTTATATATTCCTCTTTATGCTTCAAGATTCTCTTGTTTTAGCATCCACAAGTATGGTTTTTTAAATTCATTTTCATATTCCTGGGAATGTGTAAATATGAACAAACTTGCATATTGCCATTTGACTTTCACATTTAGACTTAATAGATTAGTGATAGGACAAGATCTGAAAAACCACACAGCTAGTTATGCATAATTGTGGGAGAGGGTGTGGGTGAAGGTGAGATTGTGCTTAATGAACAGTGCCCCTCAAGCCACATGGCAAGCCTTTTGAAAAGTTTGTAGAAGAAGTTGGGTTTTCTTTGTTGAATTGAACTTTGCTGAATTGAAAAGCTGTTTGAGACTTCCGGCTTGACGCTGCGATGAGACAGCAGCAGAAGGACAGAGCTACATCCCCTGGGCTGAATTCCAACCTGGTTGGGTCACCCCAAGGGGTTAAAACCACCCCAAAGGGGTGGTGAAATGGGGGAGAAGCATGCAGATCACAGGGGGACAGCAGTTACCCATATTTCTTCCAGGAAACTCCCCAATCAACCAGCGGGTGGAAACAAGTGGCTGAATTAGCTTGCTTGCAAGTCGTTGGCCGTTGGCAAAAGAAAAAGTGATAAATCAGCCAATTTATATCTCACCCAGTCACTATCATTGGGTGAGATATAAAATCTTAACTAGATTGCTCTATGACTATCCCTGGACGGAATCATCCTTTTAACAGAGAAAAGCACCTCTTAGCCTCACCACTAAATTGAGCTGCAGTAGATCTAGAGATGGTGAAAGAGACACAAAGAGATGCAAAGAAAATAAATTGGACATTAATTAAACAATTATACTTCAAGGAAGTAAGTTTGGTAATACTTTGGCATTAAACTTAAGGAATTTTCCTCTTAAAATTATTTTAGCCAAACAACGCTGAGAGTGAAACTGTTATGGCTGTCTACAGGGTTGGCAAAAAGCCCAGAAGATGACCTTGAGTACTCAAACTTGAAACACTGTTTTGACTTTCCTTTTTTTTCCTGAGAACTGACTGAAACATAGACAATTAACTTTGGAAAGTCTAATATAAACATTGTGTGAATGCGGCTGTCTCTCCATAAGACGCACCTTTCCATAAGACGCACCAATTTTTTAGGAGAAGAAAACAGGAAAAAATGTGCGTCTTATGGTGCAAAAATATGGTATGTCAGAGACTGGATTTAAATTAATCCTAAAGATTATCAATTTACTAAAGTGGATTTATTGAAGCAGTTATTGATGGAACTGGACTGACTGCTCTAAGCTACTGGACGTCTTTTACTTGAAATACAAGTACTTGGCATCTTGGGACATAATGCTACAACAAGGGAAATTTTGGGATGAAACAAAATCTACCCTTCAAGCAATCTTAGAAATACTGAGATCGCATAACGAAGAGGTGAAATAATTCAAGGAGCAACTAAAGAAAGACTATATTCAACAGGAGACAGGGAATAATGATCAAGGAAATGTAAAGGTGGAGGACGATGTACGCCAATCAAAAGAAGGGCTGGAGGAAACCAGAGGGAAAAAATTTAGGATTTAATTCTAACCCTAGAGCCGAGGAGAATTTTAACTGTGTTAAGGAAAGATAAGGGGAGAAAATCAGCAAAATTAATTAAAAATAGCCTGGAAGATCTATTGGAGATATATCAAATGCATAAAGATCTATTGGAGATAGATCAAGTGTATAAAATGTTTTCAGATGACACAAGGAATGGCAGAATATTTAGGTAGATAGAAACAAGAATTGGGAACATTCAAATAAGAGAAGGAATCACTTAGAAAAGATGAAAAAGGGGAAACTATTAAGGTGGCCTCATTGTTGAAATCATGTATATACTTAACTTCTGGAATTGTAAAGGGGCATATCTTATACATTAAAAAGGGGAATTAAACTGAAGTAAGGGATCATTAATCAGGGTAAAGGCATAACACGGTGGTTTTTAAGGTAAATTGAAGCTAGATTACTTAATATACATTAGATATTATATTAATATAAACATGATAGAACAATTATACTGTATATAGAAAATCTGTATAAAATGATTTAGATGACATTTATTATGTGTTAGGAACCTACTCAGTTATTATTGGTATAAAATACAAAGTTCGTTGTTTAAATCACCTCAAATTATATAGATTTGGAACTGGAATTACAGTGGTGCCTTGATTTACGAACTTAATCCGTATTGGAATGCCGTTCGTAAGTCAAAGCACCATTTCCCATAGGAATGCATTGAAAACCCATTAATCCATTCCAGATGAAGAAGAAAAATACCCCCCCAATAAAAATCTGCAAGCCCATGGGCTTGCCCTAACTTCAAAATTTAGATGGTCAGCTCTTTGAGGTAAAACCTGATCACTGATTTCATTCAATCAAGCCTGTGAAGGCAGATGACAGTATCTAATTCTCAAAGCTTTTGTAAGAGAAACACTGAACTCTGCTTATACATAAAATAATAAAAAGGGCAATTTGAATAGATCTTAATGGTACCTTGCAAAATACTGCTGACGTTTACTTAGAAGTAAGCCCCACTTTGTACGGGAAAGCTGGATTTGAGGGAATTGTGCAAAAAACTGCAGTGGTAGAGCCATTTCAATGTCCCTGTCACGTTCCAGGTGATTAAATTAGTGCATACAAAATACTTACCTATGCATTATCAGATATATCACATAACTTCATATGTCAAGCAGACCTTTCAGTAGAGACAGTAGTAGTGCTTTCTGTCAAAACTTCTTACAATTTTACCAGATCCTTTTCTATAACTGCTCTTCAATTTACTCTCTTATTTCATAGCGTTATGTGTGATTTGGGGCATTATGAGCTTCTTCTTATCAAGTAGACAGGCTACTATTCATTCCTCTTGATATGATGAGCAAACAATAATCTAAAACAGTATTTTAATTCTCTGGAGAAACAACTACTTTAGCTTGAGAAGTATATTCCCTGCAATCTTAAAGCACTAACATCTTTTCCTTAACTTTACCTTCTATCATTTTTGAAATTGCATGTATGATGAACATCTATTTTTTTCTCTTTCCATTTCCCTTCCCCCCACCCACCAGAGATAAAGAGGAAAATGGTAGAAAGTGTAATTTTTGAGTAGGTTTCTGTTTCATGGAAAAATCTTAGATGAAAATATCCTTTTGTTCGCTTATTGGCACTGTATGGAATCATTAAGGCTGATGCGGTCTTTTAAAGAGGGAGAAATGGCAAGGGACTGTTCATAAAATAGAGAACAAAGTTTGACTGAATGCAGTTCTTTTTGACAGATATGCATCGGGGCTGTAAAGAAGGGAAATGAGAACACAAGGCCTAAATGCAAAACAGTGTCTTTAGGCATGATCAAAAAGTTGAGTATGCCTAATGGAGCTTTGACTTTTACC